AAATAACTAAATAACTGAAAGTATAGTTTTAAATATGACATTTCAACATTTGGGGAATGCTTTCTCTGTCAGATTAGACGGAAACATCAACACTCACGAAAGTATACAGATCACAACGAGGTTAGCTTAGTTTAGCATAACGACCAGAATCAGGTGAGACGATCTCATCGCATTTCAAACAGAATTGACAATAAAAAGTAAAAAAAACTGTATCCAAAATGTATTACAAATAAAGAGAAAGAAGACAATGAGTCACGTTTTTGACCTTTTCCTAATGAATAGCTTTTCTGTCTATTCACCTTTTTCTGTGAATTATCTCCAGCTAGAGCAGATTAGTGAGCACAGGTTTTAGTCACTGTACGGGTGCAACACAGGGATGTTGAAAACATGATGATAGAACTTCCAGATCCAAGTGTTAATGCCTGCCTGTTGTTTGTCCAGAAGTTCCAGCACAGAGGCTAATTTCCACCTGATGGTTTTAAATGTTCACTGTTGAAACAGCACATATACTGTTGGGCATTTACATTTTATAGATCTGTACTTTGACCTGTTTTATACTTGTGAGACAGCTTTCAGTGTTTGTTGATTGGTATGTGCAGAAAATCTTGCATCTCTTCTCTTTTGGAAATGAATGTATTTGATGCATGGTCCTTGTTCAATAAATGATACAACCTAGGCACATAACACTAACCAATGCCTAACCCCAGCCCTGTACTTAACATGACATGAGATTCCTCAGCCTTTTGGAAAGAAAAACAAATATGCATATTTTTCAAAATGGGGAATTCATCTTTTGACTTTCATAGAAATTGTTTTAGTGTTTGCTTTTAGATATCAATTAGAAAAATCAACCAAACTACAGTTTTTATCTACCAAACTAGTCTGTTAGCTCAAGTAGATTCTAGTCATTATTATCCAGTTCACCATGGGAGGAAGTTATGTACGTTGTTAACACGTCATTTACATTAAGGCATAATTGTTGCTCATTTCCCAGATTTCATCCGGCAGTGTTGACCCATGTCTCAATTTTCAGCTCTGAATGCAGCCTGTCTCCAGCTGCAGTAAACCAGGTTTAGCCATCAGGGGAGTTCAGCCGTAATTTATCAGAGTAATTTCCTCTAGTTGCGGATAGCAATCCATCACCAAACCCAACTGGGTCCACGCTGAGCCAGGAGCAGAAACGTCTTCTCTTGTGGGAGATGGAAACCTGTTTGACAGTGGCACCTATGACGGCATTTCAGATATGTGTAAAGGCCTGTCATTCTTTCTGCAGAGGGATGTCCTAATGCAGTCATCTCTGCACAAACACGGTTAGTATAAAGGTCACTTCCTTCATAAGTTACTGTTATATGTAACACACAGCGATGCATATTTAGGGCCCGAGCACCGACTGAGTCAGAGTGGAGGACATATTACAATCCTTGGAATTATTATTGGCAAAATAAATCGCTATTTTGAAGGCGTTATATTATTTATTACCTTCTTGTTTGACCAACTTACTCTGAGTCTATCAAGTGAAAAATTAAAGGAGTGCTTCTAAATCTGGCAGAGCTGGTATTGTGGCTGCCAGATTTAATGATACCGACTCTCTTGACACACTTTTTGTCATCATCTATCTCTATCTTATCTCAGCGTCTTTATTCTATAGATCCACGTAACACACACACACACACAGATATATAGACACAAACACATATAAGATCGAGAGACCCCAGTGAGTCCCGTCAGGCTGCCAGCAGTAATGTGCCGTCAGAGTGGGTTTGTTAATTGGATAATGTGTTTCAGAGGAGGCACTCAGCAAGCCGGGGGTTTCCCCTCATCACACCGGCTGCAGAGAGTCGTGATGCAAAGATTTTGAATGTCTATTCACCGTTTGGACCGAACAGATTCCACCGGTGATCCTCCACATAGGGTTGTTTATTGTTACAACTTAAATGTTTTAAGTTACCTCAAGAGTAATTACAGTAGTCCCAAGTCAAGTCACTTTTTCTAAGATACCACAGAGATTATTAGTACCTGTCTAATCATGATATTTTCAGCAAATTAATCTAACTTGTTCAAAAGTATGACAAGGAGTTGTTTTTGAATTATTATTATTATTATTATGTATATTCAGTGAAATAAATTCATGCAAAAAAGCTTAATAAAAGAACAAATACATTTCTCCCATTCACTTTTAGTGTGAAAATCATGTCCATGCCCTTCTCAGTGTGTACATGTATAACATGGCAACATTACACAGTTATAATGTCAACATTGGCAATATTGAACATTTGTTCATTTAAATATGTATACTGAAACCAGACAACACAGACAAGTCACTCAAATCCACGTCTTAATGTGGACTTGAGTGACTGTATTGACAGGAACAACAGTTGTTGCAGTAATAGTGGCACAAGCATACTAAACACTTCCTATAAAGATATCAGTGGGGTTATTAAAGTACCAATGAGAAACAAATAAACATTAAATAGTGGTCCTTAGTCCTCTGTGTCGCCCT